GCAGCGTGTAAGTTTACTAAATGAGTCCTCCAGCCATGATCGACCTGCAGGTGACTTTGAACGTGGCAGTGTCGATTTAGGTCCCGTGACCTCCACCCACTTCCCCAAGGCTAAAGTCGGCGCCCGAGTTGTTCTGTCTCAAACCGCGTGACAAATGGTTCTTTAGGTCTTTCTGTCGTAGTGGCTCGTATACTGAATCGATGTCCATGTGCATGTTGATTGAATGTTTCGTTGAAAACCAAGCTTCCAAGAATTCTCTTTCTTTTCTTGTTTCACCTCGTGCCAGGACTTCTGCTTTGCTCCAATCGAAGCTATGTCCTTCTTCATCTACATGCATTGAAACTAGCGACGATGCATAATGCTTTACACAGGCTCTCTTGTGTTCTTGTATCCTTGTTACCAATTTTCTTCCCGTCTGGCCAACATAATCCCTTTCGCAATCTCGGCAAGGTATTTTGTATACTACATTGCGTTGTTCATGTGCTTGCAGTTTTTCTTTTGGTTTTGAAAGGGTTTTTCTCAACGTGGCAGTTGGTTTGTGTGCTACGATGAGATGATGCTGTTTGAATAGTCTGGCTGCCATTTCCGATATGTTCTTCATATAAGGCAGAACAACCCGTTTCTCCGTTGTCGTTGTTGTTGCCGCTGCCGCTGTTGTTGTGCTTGTTGTCGCCGCTGTTGTTGTTGTTGTTGTAGGCTGTATGTTGACGTTGTTGTGATTCAGACACCTTCGGATGAAACTTCGTGGGTATCCGTTGAGTTGGAAACATTTAAGTAGGTGTTTTTCTTCCTTTTGCTTTGCTTCTGTTGTACTGCAGTGTGTTTGCACTCTGCGAAACAGTGTCCGCACACAGCTTACTTTGTGGCATTTCGGGTGGTTGCTGTTAAAGTTCAGAATTTGGTCTGTGTGTGTGTCTTTTCTGTAGACCGATGTTTGCAGCTCGCCTTCCATAGTTCTTGTTACTAATACATCCAAGAAAGGGAGCTGTCTTTCTTTCTCCAGTTCCATTGTAAATCGGATGCCTTCCATGGCGTTATTCAATAGCTGTTGTGCGACTGTTATTTGGTTGCGTCTGATTATCACAAAAGTGTCGTCCACATACCGAACCCACAGTTTCGGGTTGACGAGTGGTAGTACCTCCTCCTCCAATTTCTGCATAACCATCTCTGCCATGAGCCCTGACACAGGTGATCCCATTGGTGCGCCTTTCAATTGCTCATAAATCTTTCCATTGAATGAGAAATGGGTCGACAAACACAAGTGGAGCAGTTTACATACATTTTCGGTCGTCATTTTGCCGATTTGTTGTTCACCGACCTCCAGCCGTTCCGTGATGACCGCTATTGCTGTCTGCAAGTTGACAGACGTGAAGAGTGCAGTCACGTCGAATGATATCATTGTTTCATCATTATCTAATCGCAGGTCTTTGATCTTTTGCAGAAACTGCTGGGCATTGGTTATAGAATATTGCGATCCATAGGTTAAATGTTTGAGGCGTCTCCACATTTCTTTCGCCAGGTTGTAGGTGGGTGTTCCAGGGAGAGACACAGACCAAATTCTGAACTTTAACAGCAACCACCCGAATGCCACAAAGTAAGCTGTGTGCGGACACTGTTTCGCAGAGTGCAAACACACTGCAGTACAACAGAAGCAAAGCAAAAGGAAGAAAAACACCTACTTAAATGTTTCCAACTCAACGGATACCCACTCGAAGGTGTCTGAATCACAACAACGTCAACATACAGCCTACAACAACAACAACAACAGCGGCGACAACAAGCACAACAACAGCGGCAGCGGCAACAACAACGACAACGGAGAAACGTGGACTGCTGCTCGACAATTCGGGAGGCGTATGATACGCTTAATGATCACGGACGCTCACAATCGTCTCAGAAAATATGACAGAAGTATGAACGAACATCGATCTAGCTGCCTTCAAGCCGTTGGACAACAATTAACAGAACAACTGGAAGCTGCAATACAACGTCGGGTAGCAAACACCAGGACAAAAAAGCATAATGCGCTTCTCGATAAGTTATCAAAATTGACGTCTCCTAAAGATGAAAATATCAGTGACGGCTGGATTAGAAATCTTTCCAACCGACCAATCAACGATGCCGAAAAGCAAGTACTCATCAAGGGATTAAACTACAACTACAGAGATGCAACGGCTACCGACTTCTTAGCAGCCTTCGAAAGCGTCCTACAATCCAATGGATTAGACCAAGAGACTCAGAAGCAAATAAGACACACAATTGTTCCTGCTATAACGCACAACAAGCAATACAACGCCTTAAGCAGACAAGAAAAAGAGGCAATGAATACCCTGAAGTCTGATGAAACCATCATTATCCTACCAGCTGACAAGGGACGAATGAGTGTCATAATGAATAGAGAGGATTACATTGAGAAGGCCACACGCCTCTTGAATGACACAACAACCTACAGGTGCATCGACACGGATCCAACTTCGCAGCTGACAAACAAAGTAAACAAGACATTGAAGCAACTTCAAGAATTGAAGCAAATCACGAAAGAAGAGCGCGAGAGGATGAGAGCCCGCGACTCGAACATCGCGCAATTCTACGGACTCCCAAAGGTACACAAAGATAATGCACCGTTGCGGCCTATCGTGTCTCTCCCTGGAACACCCACCTACAACCTGGCGAAAGAAATGTGGAGACGCCTCAAACATTTAACCTATGGATCGCAATATTCCATAACCAATGCCCAGCAGTTTCTGCAAAAGATCAAAGACCTGCGATTAGATAATGATGAAACAATGATATCATTCGACGTGACTGCACTCTTCACGTCTGTCAACTTGCAGACAGCAATAGCGGTCATCACGGAACGGCTGGAGGTCGGTGAACAACAAATCGGCAAAATGACGACCGAAAATGTATGTAAACTGCTCCACTTGTGTTTGTCGACCCATTTCTCATTCAATGGAAAGATTTATGAGCAATTGAAAGGCGCACCAATGGGATCACCTGTGTCAGGGCTCATGGCAGAGATGGTTATGCAGAAATTGGAGGAGGAGGTACTACCACTCGTCAACCCGAAACTGTGGGTTCGGTATGTGGACGACACTTTTGTGATAATCAGACGCAACCAAATAACAGTCGCACAACAGCTATTGAATAACGCCATGGAAGGCATCCGATTTACAATGGAACTGGAGAAAGAAGGACAGCTCCCTTTCTTGGATGTATTAGTAACAAGAACTATGGAAGGCGAGCTGCAAACATCGGTCTACAGAAAAGACACACACACAGACCAAATTCTGAACTTTAACAGCAACCACCCGAAATGCCACAAAGTAAGCTGTGTGCGGACACTGTTTCGCAGAGTGCAAACACACTGCAGTACAACAGAAGCAAAGCAAAAGGAAGAAAAACACCTACTTAAATGTTTCCAACTCAACGGATACCCACGAAGTTTCATCCGAAGGTGTCTGAATCACAACAACGTCAACATACAGCCTACAACAACAACAACAACAGCGGCGACAACAAGCACAACAACAGCGGCAGCGGCAACAACAACGACAACGGAGAAACGGGTTGTTCTGCCTTATATGAAGAACATATCGGAAATGGCAGCCAGACTATTCAAACAGCATCATCTCATCGTAGCACACAAACCAACTGCCACGTTGAGAAAAACCCTTTCAAAACCAAAAGAAAAACTGCAAGCACATGAACAACGCAATGTAGTATACAAAATACCTTGCCGAAATTGCGAAAGGGATTATGTTGGCCAGACGGGAAGAAAATTGGTAACAAGGATACAAGAACACAAGAGAGCCTGTGTAAAGCATTATGCATCGTCGCTAGTTTCAATGCATGTAGATGAAGAAGGACATAGCTTCGATTGGAGCAAAGCGGAAGTCCTGGCACGAGGTGAAACAAGAAAAGAAAGAGAATTCTTGGAAGCTTGGTTTTCAACGAAACATTCAATCAACATGCACATGGACATCGATTCAGTATACGAGCCACTACGACAGAAAGACCTAAAGAACCATTTGTCACGCGGTTTGAGACAGAACAACTCGGGCGCCGACTTTAGCCTTGGGGAAGTGGGTGGAGGTCACGGGACCTAAATCGACACTGCCACGTTCAAAGTCACCTGCAGGTCGATCATGGCTGGAGGACTCATTTAGTAAACTTACACGCTGCATATCACTGCACTGAGGATGCCACCTCGCATGGTGGTGAAACGTTTGCGAGAAAACCGCCAAGCTCGGAGAACAAATGAACAATTGCTAGTATCAAAGAGTGGTTCCATGCACTCAGTGTGGAGCGGACTACGGTCCAGCCACCGCCTTGTGTGCGCTTGATTCCCCAAATGCAGTGTGCTTGTGTTTGCCTGTGAAGGAGTGTGAGTCAGCTGCGTTGATGAAACGTGGCTCCCATCCACATGGTCCCTCTGTAGGCGCAGGCGTCCTGTGGCTGGCCACAGTGCCAGGCAAATCCGAAACCGAAAGCCGCCAACCATATATATATATATATATATATATATATATATATATATATATATATATATATATATATATATATATATATATATATATATATATATATATATATATATATATATATATATATATATATATATATATATATACTTTAGGTAGAAATGGGAAACACCTCAGCTAGTGTCGCAATACATTAGAAAAAATACACAACAGATGCACGCCAGCTGAGCTACTAGGTTGCACGGTGCATCCGAACCTCGAGGTGAATGGAAGACAGTCGAAAAATAATCCCGACCGCGGACATCTCGACGAAAATAGGGAAACTTAATGCAGCAAATAGACTGCGGGAAGATGACAGCGTAAATCGCGAAAGCAGTGAGAAATGCGATAGGCAATGCCTAGGTTTGATAAAAGTGGAGTAATGTTGTTGTGTTTTGAAATGACTATGCGAGTGATGCTAAGTCGAATTTGTGTTGAGAAATCCAAAAATCTGCCAGTAAACGGCAGTTAACTCACGTCTTCTGCGACAGGACCATCAATATCCAAAAATAGTGAATCCTGACCGGAGGCAAGCTTGTTACCTAGATCATCATTGAGCAGCTGTCGTTCCTCCGCTAACATAGTAGGAACGAAGTCATCATTTTGACCAAGTTGCTCGGGTGGATGTCCAGTCTTCCAGTGGTATAATGGCACATGACCGGAAGAGATCAAAAGCCGCAAAGTTAAACAACAGGCTGTGTCCAGGGAATTTTCTACATCCTCAGCGCCATGCGTCCTGAAAATGCCAATGGAAGAAACAAAATGAAGGCATTCGAGATAGAGATCCCGTTCATAGTGACTTAGGAAGGAGAAAAGCTGCACACCCCTCAAGTAAAACCAACCTGTTGTGGGTGTATCCTCTCATGGAGCCATAGAAGGAAACGGCACTTCCAAGTTCACCGAGGGTGGGTATGAATGCGTCTAGATAAGCGGGTACGCCAGAAGCCTCCTCCAAAAGCCTAACCTTCACATTGGTTTCTCCTGGCTACAGTGTTTAAATGAAGTCGATCAGGCTCACTGTAAGGTGAAGCATTTTCAACATTTTATCCATGGAATCTTCCAGCTTTGAAACATTTAAACAGAGCTCCTTTATCTTTTGACGGAGTCCCTTGAAGCGAGGAAATAGTGATGGGCATTCTCACATACTGTTATTAGCTTCTGGCGGTCGGAAATTACAGTTTTACACCGCGGAATATGATCTGACGCGAGTTCATGTATGTCCTCGCCCAGTTCGGCTTGAAAACATGATAAAAACAAGCACATACCTAAGTAGAGATTGTCTCTTTCGTATGAATTGATGAGGTCTCGCCAACTCTGAAAACAATCAACAATTAAGCGGTCGTAGAACAGGCTTACCCGGACGGATTGACTGGCACGACCAAAAAAATCGGTCTGTGTATCTTGACTTGCAACAAGTTCGGCCAGCTTAAGTGAGCGCAAATAAGATGCTGAGAAAGGCATGTCAAGAATGTCTGAAGGCAAACACACGGTGCTTGTAAGGACATTCTCCCAATTCCAGATTAGTGGATACTGAGAGGTCTTCAATTTGCCTCTTGAGCGAGCTGAGTATCCGAGGATAATCTTTGCGCAGGAGCTTCCGGTTTACAAGCCAGTCTAAAGCATACATCGCTCATTCGTAATAATAGGTGATTACCAATAATTTTTGATGAGTTGATTGAGACTGGTTGCCTGTTTACATTGTGCACCGTCTAAAGGAATCACGAATAGGAGTAAGGTCAGAAGTTAACTAACCATGCTACCCAGAAATAGCAATTGAGAAAAAGGATGCGTCCGGGCGAACCTCACAGACTGGGTACAGCAGCGCAATTAACGCTGAAGTGCACTTGGGACCGGAACACAAGGATAATTCTGTGAATATTCCTCTTTTGCGTATGGTTGAACAGTGAATTGATGGGGTAACTTGAGATGTTGATAAACCTAAAACAAAAATTGCATCACATCCTGGCCAACCAGTTGCTGCCCACATTTTCCTGCCCAACAGTCGCTGCTGGATCAGTTAGGTAAAGTAAAAAAGAGTGAATGGTAAATTCAGGAAAGCAAGAAGAGGAATGGCAGCTAAAACAACTGATAATACCAAGGAATGATGAATTGAAAAGAGGAGGGAGGTAAAGACACAAGTAGGTTAGGAGGGGAAAATTTGGTATTACCAACCAAGAGCATCTAACTGACGCTCAAACCCTCCAACGACGTGTACCGGAAGCGAGTTTCAACAACCAATAATCCGGCGCGACAAACGAGTTTCCGTCCTAACCCGGTCGGAACGCAGTTTGTACAGCTGCAACGGGTGACCGCGGAGACTAGACAAGGTAGTGGGACTAAACAGTCAGGAAAAGACTGCACCGATCTTACCCGTCAATTTACGGTAAGTGAGGATCAAGTCCCCTCTGATTCTCTGGCAGTGCATTAAGTATATCACGAAGCTAAGCAAACGTTCGGGATATGCCTGTAACCATAAATACTGCATTAACTTTGTACCCCGTCGCAAAACCCTCTCCAGTTCCAGCTTGTCCCTTGCAAGACAAGGTAGAAGAGCCTGGGTACAGCATTCTAAGGGGATAGCACAAAAGCTGAGAGAAGTTTCACATACATTCCGGCCGTTGGGAAACCGAAGAAGTGGCGAATAAACCACATCATAAGAAACCCCCTACAGGCAGTCCTATTCAAATTGTCCCCAGAGTGAAGAGCTGATGTATGGACGATGCCTAGATGAACCGGCTGGGTAACAACAGGGATTTCACTTCAACCAGCAACATAACAAGTAGGGAGATTAACAGCTCATATTCGGAGAACAGAAGAAGAAAAGGCATAAGCAGTACACCACTACGCAGTACCGACGCTTCGCTGCCAGGCAACCACGACTGGTTGCACGCGGGCTAAAGATACTGCGGGGTCGCCCTGCCCTTACGCAGGCTCGAACCCGTGCCGTCAGATTACAAGATAAGCTCGTCACCTTTAGGCTACGGACCGGAGAACAGAACATTTCGCCTGATTTACGGGCGTCAACCATAAGGTTGGTTAATACCGCATCCTATCCAAGGCACTCCGAACAGCCTTAGAATCTCAGGGATATCCACCATATTCCATAGCTTGAGGTCATTAGTAAACAGTAGCAACAATAGCTCCTGCATTAGGTCATTGACAAAAATTGAGAAAAGTAACGGCCCTAAAACCGAGCCCCGTCAAGAACAGCTTGCTAAGCGAATGGTTACACCCTAGGTGTGTACACTGTTCTATCCTCTCTAGAAAAGCAGACACCCATTTAAGAGCACCACCAGATATCCCATAAGATCACAACTGTAATGAGAGTCGTAGATGAGAGACAGTAACGAAAACTTTAGACAAGTCAACGAAGAGCAGTGTGGCCGCTGCCTACTGTCTCATCTCAGCTTTCACGAACCACAAGTAAATTTATCGGACACGAAAATCTTACGAATTCGTGTTGTGCAGCACTGAGAAGGAAAGATATATTCAGACGGTTCTCCACCAAATCCCTCACCAGTTTCTCAAACAACTCGACTACTAAGCCTGTCAAGCTGACAAACTGGTAGTTCGCGAGCAAAGTAGTGTCACCGCCAAAGCGGACAGAGGATTGCTTCCTTCCATTCCGAAGACAAGGCACAGCTGTAGAGCGACGTTGTGAACATGCATGCAAGAGGCCCACTTAGTTCGGCGGCCAATTAATGCATCAGCCTCTACTGAATCGTACCATAGCCAGAAGCTTTAAAAGGATTTCGCCTTTGAAATAACTCGAAGACCTTGGTCTCCGTTATGTAAACTCAAGTTAGGAAAGAATCCTCCGGAACTATTGTGACCAGCTCCAGCTATAGTAGAGGTCTCACGAGAAAAGACACCAGTACACTGCTCGCTAAGTATACAAGCGTTATCATAGTCGGTATGCGTACGAGTCTCGTCCGCGCGTTGTAACGCTGGTATAAATGAATTTGTACCGCTGTGCCACATTATGTAAGCAAAGAACGTCTTGGGATTTGCTGCGGATACCTCAGCTAAACCTTTCTCGTACTGAAGACGAGCAGTCTTGAAATGTTGCTTACATTTATTCCAAACTTCTTGACAGCTTTCGTAGGTGATGATTGATGGGACCGCATGGTAAGTTCCCCAGTACTTAGACCACTTCCTGAGCAGGTATTTACAAGTAAAATCTATCCATGGAGGCTGCGCTAGTGTCTATCAGTTCTTCATGAGTGGGGCATGAGGAGCAGAGACCTCGGTGATATATGCCTTAAATTTTACCTGGTGTAACTCATAAGTGCCGGCCCCGAAGATCACACAATGTAGAACTGCAGTTTTATTTCGCATTGCGCTGAAGTTCGCCCGCCAAATATTTGGGCATACCTCAGTGGTAGCCCGATGATATTTAGAAGGCACGCCGAAATGATATGTAGGCATAGCCACTGACCCCTAGAGGAGACCCTGTAGCTGTGGTGAATGCACCATATTTTTTTCTTTTTTTATCCCTTCGTTACTGACCATTTCGTACCATTTGTTTAAAGCAACGAATTTTGATTACACATCCTCGAACGCCCTCGCATCGTGCTTGCTTCGTTTGGTGCAGCCTATGCTTGGGTTGTTGCCACGTCTTCTCAGTAGTTGGATATATAGTTTCGAAGTATCGGTCGGCATCTGGCAGACGGTAACTGAAGGATTTTAACGCAAGTGTGCCAGATGGTGTTTCAACTGTGAACTTTTGCCTAAGGTTGCATTTTGTTTCCGGATTCAAACTTTTTACTTAACGGTCCATTACAAGCCGCATGCAATATCACTTAGGTGATTGAGTCAATACGCAAAAATAGGAGCCAAAGTGTACGGCAGCTGGTAGCACATGTACCTAGTCGGGAGGTCTGCGAACTGGTATAAAGGCAGTTGCAACGTTATCTCGAGGAGTTCCGAATCGAAGGTGTCCATCACCAAACTGCAAGACAGATCCGCCCAACAGGCCTCAGGGGGGTTGAACCCCCCCCCCCCAGTACTAAACACTTATTGGCAGCCTGATTACGTATAAACTATGACATCCTTGGAGTTACTTGCAGGACTTCGATATACCACTACAATTGTAAAATGCGAGGAGGTGCATATAACAGCCAATAGGGCTTCAACAGTTTGCTTGAGTGACTGAAAAACACAGGTCCTCAACACATCCAATATACAGCTCAAAATGAGATAAACGCCTCTGCTATCAAGGCCAACAAAGCGCTCATCTCTAAGCAGCGCGTACCCAGGTAAATATACTTTACCGTCCGTGATATCCAGGGACAACCACGATTAAGTGTATCTGACAGTGCGAGATCCCGCTGTACGCTGACATTACTACCCTTGAATTGAATGCAGAGCGCAGTAACGCTTTACGTTTTTACGGGGTTGAAGGGACCATGTGAAGTAAGTCAGGTCAGGTCTCGAAAGACGAAACAGGCCTTCACCTAACGAGCGGGTCGTTTCACGGGCCGGTAAGCAAGCAAAGGGCCCCAGTACTTCGACGTCCAAAATTTTTACTTTTGCAGAGAAAAAATAATGCGTAAGAGCAACGTCACATAATCTCATGAAACCATGACATTAAACCGACCATAGAATAGTTGGCACTAATCATTACCCACTAATCTTAATGCGATTCCGGAGAGTGTACCAATTCACATATACACCTCTTGTAAAGGATTATATCGTATTACACACCGCTGGTGCAAGAGGCAGTAAATTCCAACTACGTACTAGCGGTAAAGGAAAAAGTTCGCTCGTATATCCGGTCTGGACTTCTGCCTCATGAGCTTCAGATGGTGTCCCCGCAGGTGGTCCGACGCAGCTAGTCCAAAGAAATCAATAGGCTTAGTGCCACTGAGAGCCTACCTAATTTTGAACATTTCTATCAGGTCTCCACAGTCTGTGAGGTTCGAATGAGAACAAGCCCAAACAAGCCAGTCGGCCAATATACGATTTTTCATGTTGGCGTTCAATTATTCTGGTGGCCAGTTTTTGTATATTCTCTAAGCAAGCAAAATCCTTTCAAAGATACGGTGCCCAAGCCTGAACACAGTACTCGAAGCGCAGCCGCAACCACCGCTCTGTATAAAGGGAGAAAGACCTCACGTTTAATAGCACGCAACATTCCTGTCGCGATCTGCTAGCAGCACGTTGGCCCTGCCCCGAGGACCTGGAGCTATCTACCATGACGATGTTCAAGTCCCTCGCCTCATCTATATACTGCAAAGTCATGGACCTAGTGGATGTGTGCACCCCCCAACGTTGCTTTGTGATAGAAGCTGACATTTGTTTGCATTCAATAGCAAGATTAATGATTCAGACCACTTTGCTACATTGAGCAGATCTTGAGATAGCGTATATCTATCTCCCCTATTGACAAGCTTTACATAGTCCGCAAAAACATAACAAGGGTTCTCGAGGAGTGGTCTCGAACATTTATAAATATAAGAACCAATAAGAAACAACACTGAACCCTAGGGGACACGCTATGAGAAGTACCCATGCTAGAGCTAACCTCCCCACTTCTGACACTGAACGTTCTGCCGACAACCAAGTCCTTAGTTTGGGATGCAACCCAAACCAAGTCAGTGATCAACCGAATCAAACGCTTTACTGAAGTCTACGTAGCAGCCCTTCACTGGAACCCCGATATCGAGGCACCGAGTTATTTCGTCCAATAAACACAACAGGTTTTTAAGGCATGAATTCTTTCTACTGAAACCATACTGTTCCGCTCCAAGTAA